GAGACAGTAAACACTGTCTTGCCGTACTAATTCACTATTTTGTTGAGTTTTTTTTAGTTACAGACCCCTGAGGCTATAAATACCCCCCTAGGGTCATTTCTGACGAGGATCGAGCATATTTTCGAGCAATTCAGATGAGGGAGGCTGATCAGAGAGCATCCACAGGCTGATTTCAGAGCAGAGAGGGCAGAGTACTCGAGCTTCTGTAACTCCTTGATATTCAGGCTTTGACTTGATTTCAAGAAGAACGACTATCTTACCTTGATAAGATATCGTTTCAAGTTCTCACTTCGATAAACGAAGTCAGAATCATAAACCCCTCACGATTCAATCAGAATCTGTGATTTGGTGGTCCACGGGCTAACGCACCTCCGGCACAGGCAAAGATCCCACGCAAGCAGTGATCCAAACAATGATCCTGCGTTTGTTTCCCAAGAGTTGTAATTTTTATTTTGTTGTATAAAATAAGTCTTATAAAAAGGCTATCTCTTTTTTAAATTTATTGTAATCGACTGAAGATATAATGAATTCCATGACAAAACCAACTTTTGACGCAAACAATCAAGATAGTAAATTTTCAAGGATACGAGTATTATATTTTGATAAAATCTAAAATTCATGATCAAAACTCATGGTCGATCTTCCCATTTCCTTGCAGATTTAATTATTGTACCACGCTTCAAAATACATGACCACGCTATGCTATTGTCATTCAAATGTTGTTAGTTTTATGAGCATCTTGTTTTTAGAAAAAAGTTGAAAATTTTAATTATTGTACGCAAACTAATAGTTACCTCCAAGCCCAAAAGATTCTATAGGTTTTTTAAACGGGATGCTCCAAGAGTTTAACGAATCGGTTACAATATGTAGGCTTGTCCAAACAGCTCGGCCTAAGAATTCAGGTTCCTTGCGAGCAAGCCACCCTTCAAAATACATGACCACGCTATGCTATTGTCATTCAAATGTTGTTAGTTTTATGAACATCTTGTTTTTAGAAAAAAGTTGAAAATTTTAATTATTGTACGCAAACTAATAGTTACCTCCAAGCCCAAAAGATTCTATAGGTTTTTTAAACGGGATGCTCCAAGAGTTTAACGAATCGGTTACAATATGTAGGCTTGTCCAAACAGCTCGGCCTAAGAATTCAGGTTCGGGCAAGGTAAAATTGTCTGCCCAAACCCCAGCCCGGGTCCAGGTCCGGGCCAGACTAGGTTGGGCATCGGGCTGGCCTGCATTTTTATTTTTTTTATTTTCATTATTTTCCAAAAAATACTTGAAATTTATTTTTTTTACAAAAAATACGGAATTTCAAGAGTAATTAAAATATCTAAAATTTTGATAAAAAATCAATCATATTATTAATCACTTAAAATTGTACAATTTGCAAATATCATAGGAATTAAAAAAATAAATTGTGTATTATCAATCACTAAGAATTGCAAATTTTCTAAAAAATTATCGTATCACAATAGATGAATACATCTCAATTAGGTTGAACACTTATTCATCTGTATCACTATCATTTGTAACTCTTTTCAAATTTTGATAAAAAATCAATCATATTATTAATCACTTAAAATTGTACAATTTGCAAATATCATAGGAATTAAAAAGATAAAAAATAAATTATGTATTATCAATCACTAAGAATTGCAAATTTTCTAAAAAATTATCGTATCACAATAGATGAATACATCTCAATTAGGTTGAACACTTATTCATCTATATCACTATCATTTGTAACTATTTTCAAAATAATTTATCACGTATTTACAACTAAAAGTTAAAAATTACAAACTACTTTCTACTCTTTATCTCCTATCGTCAACTCATTAAGTCTATCTTCAACATTAGCTATTTAGTCGATATCTTAAGTTTTTTCCTCGAATCTCCACCAATTTTGTAGGCACATTACCGCTTGTATAGTAGACGGATCTAGTGATGTTCTGTGACCGTCGATCAAATGTCCTGATGTGCTGAAGGTGGATTCCAAAGCTCTGTAAAAATGTGCACTGTTAGTAATTCACGAGCCATGATGGAAAGTATAGGATATAAAACTATTCCATATACTCTTCACAATTGCAAAATATCAAAATCAACATTATTTTGAGAATTAGCTAATGGTCCAGCTAAATATTATTTAATTAAAAAAAAATTCTTTCATAATGATCCAGATCCTGATCCACGGTACTACCAATTAGCGTCGCTATCATCGATTACCTATCAAAAATATTAGTTTTGCCCTATCTTGAGCTTGTAGAAGCTATATGTTGAGGTGTACTTACACCATATTTGCGTGCATACTCATCAAATAACCTTCAAAATAATATTTACTAGTGTTATGATGAGTAAGAGCAGTAATAGCCTGACCATTATCAGTGTCTAGTATTATGTTCTCATACAAAGAATTTAACAAATTTTAGAGGCCAATATCTTTCAGGCATGTATCAATAAGAATTCCCAAACCAAAAATAATAGGTATAGATCTAAAATACTTATTAAATTTACTTTTTATTTCAAAAAAATCATGTTTCCAATATAAGTATCCATGCGATAAGTAATAAAAAACAAGTTCGAATACTTAAAACTTGTAAAGTAGCTTGAGTAATAGTTTCAGGATAATATTTCAAAATTTCACGTTGACAAGATTGACGATAAAATCTTTAAAATGGGAGATAAGAACTATCTCTAGTCACATGAACTATCTCTAGTCACATCCTCAAATTCATCATCTTCTACTAATTTAAAAGGAAGGTTTTTAAGAATAATAAACTTGATGACGCATTTCCTGGTTTTAACTGTGTCGTAGTTCCAGGAACTAAGGGCTACCGGAGGTAGATGATTGAGAGAGTAGAGATTGGTGGATGTCTCCTTAAGACATTCCTATTTGCGATCTATGGTCGATGCCGCTCTTATGATGAGCTTCAAAGATATTGCTCGCACGACGCACATTTGGCATCTGGTTGAGAAGTTTGCCGTGTTGATCCCTGGTGACTTATATCTTCTTAAAAAAATTCCACACATCATATCTTGGTTTTTTAGGAGCTCTAGGTATTGAATCATTGCCATCTGATTCGAGATCATCATTAGTAGGAGGAGGAGTAAATGTAGGAGTGGTAGGACTTATTTCGGTTTCGAGAGTTAGAACTTGCCCTTCATAATTAGAGGAGGAAGCTATTGGATTATAGAATTAGAGAGTATGAGAGAAATAGAGAGAAATATATGAGTTTTGGATGAGAAAACCAAATGAAAGTTCCCTCCATTTATAGAGGCATCCCTAGCAAAATGTCCAAAATACCCTCAAATTTTGATCGTTTTTGACCTTTTTTGGAGGTATTTTCGTCAAATGGCCAAAAATAGCCGTTATTGGCTATTTTCTCAGCTCGAACTGGGCCGGGTTCAGGCTAGCCCATCCAACGAGCATATTTTTGCATGTTGGACCGGGCAAGGCCGAGTCCATGTCCGAGCCGCCCAGTCCAAGAGGCATATTTTTGCCCATTGGACCGGGTCCAAACCTGGGCCGGGCTGAGTTTAGACACACAACCCTGTCCAACGACTACCCATCGTTTCTAGGTCGGGACTAGACTCGGACCCGGGTAGGTCGGCCCGACCATTTTTTGGACCGGGTTGGGTCGGGCCCGGGGTGGATTTCGCCAAACTGACATGGACTCGAGCCCGAAGCTCGGTCAGGCTCGGATTTCTAGGCTTTTCTTGGATTCTGGCCGGACACCGGGCTGGTAGCTCACTGGACACCCCTAACAATATGGTTGAAAATTATATTTCGATGACTTGCGAGTTGAGTACATGTGTGTATCCATCGACACCATAGTGTGATAAATTTGCTTCTAAGGAACATCCTGATTATATATTTCAAGCGAGACGTTAGAGAATGCCTAGATTTTTATAGTGCTTCCGCGTGTTAGATGGAAAGTGAAAATCTAAATAAAATATTTTCTTATTATTTTCTATTTGCAAAATCTTATTTTGATGATAGAAAACGGGGAAAAGAACCAAATTTTTGGGCATCATATAATGTGGCATTTACTTTCATTCTGATTACCATGGAAAATGAATGGTAAAAAATAAACAATTGAAACTACATGATATGGGAGATAATAAAAGAAATTTCAATGGTTCTAAGGACTAAATATAATTATGAAACTATTTTAGGGACTAATATCGAAAAGATTATATTTGCCTAAGGGCCTGTTTGGATTGCGGTTAACGGGAGATAAGGAAAGACAATGGACTAATTTACCTTATTTGAAATTCATTTGTGATAGATAATGGGGAAAAGTTAAGATAACTAAGGTGGGAAAAAAAAAATCTAACTTCGTGTTACCCCAGCGTAAGCAAGAAAAAATTAAGGCACACTTTTAGGGGTTGTTTGTTTCACCAAAAATTTTGGCATTTGATATGAATTACAAGTTTTGGGATAAAAAATAAGTTTTTTTTTTTGTATTTTGGGATTCTATATATGATGTTTGTTTTAAGAAGATTTTTACAATATTGAATACCAAAAGTATAAAAAGTGCCCAAATTTTAGAATTTACCAAATCCTCTCAGTTGGAGAGGATTTTGACAAATCCCATAAATGAGTGTGCTTACTTCTCAATTGAAGAGGATTGACAAATCCTAATTTTGTCTTTTTATAGGAGGTAACCTCATCAAGATAGCATATTCATCATATTACAAAATTTTGACATTTGGTAATGCTACAATTTGAGCTTGAAACAAACAAAATATTAAAAATTATAGTTTTCTAAATCCCAAAATATTAATGATACAAACAACATTTTAGAAATCCCAACCCATAACAAAGCACCTATGAACTTCAAATCCCATTGTGATTTGAAACAAACATCCCCTTACAAAAAGTAATTCTACAGCTTCTATCAAAAAAATTAAAAAAATTACACTAATAAATTTATTTATATAAATCAAAACTGGCCCTGAGATAAATCACCGTTCAGCTCAACGGCCGTGATCACTCCACCGCTCCGCAAATCTCAACAGCCGTCAGCACTTCACCAGCAGCTCAAAAGATATCACAAATTTGTCAGGGGGCAAAAAAAAAAAAAAAAAAAAATCGAGGAAGGGAGACAGAAATCAGAATGAGGAAGTTCGATCCGTGGGCGGTGTTCTTCAGGAGAGAATGGAATCGCAACTGGCCCTTCCTCGCCGGATTCGCCATCACCGGCGCTCTCATCACCAAGTTCACCGCTGGGCTCACTGGTTAGATCTCAGATCGCTCCCATCCTCAAAAAAAAAAAAAAAAGATTTTTTTTACCCCTTCAAAGAATCGCCAGATGATTTTTTTTTTAGCGCAGTTTTTGATCGATTCGGTTGGATTTTGTAGAGGAGGACGCGAAGAGCTCGCGATTTGTTCAGGAGCACAACAGGTAAAATCTCTGTCGATCTGGCTAATTCAAGATCTTTGTAATGATCGGTCCTAGGGTTTGATTAACATGGACGGGTTTAGGCATGGATTAGGGTTATATCTTCATTTGAAGCTGTTGAGGCTTGAGAGCTGATTATATTAGAAATTTCTCTCAGTTGTTAGCATCATTGCGATCCTAATAATGATTCATGCAAGATGCAACCTAGCCAAAAATTATACGCACACACACAAAAAAAAAAAAAAAAGGAAAACGGCTTCATTGATGCATTACCCATGTCTGTTATGTTTTATGGCAAATTATCGGCGTAAATATGTTTTGTGCGAAACTATTATCATAGAACGATCGTTTACGAGTTTTTAAACCTTTATATTTCCTATCCTTTATCCTCCTCTTTGCTACATTGCCCCCTTCTCTCATGTTTTATGGCAAATTATCGGCGTAAATATGTTTTGTGCGAAACTATTATCATAGAACGACTGTTTACGAGTTTTAAACCTTTATATTTCATAACGTAATCTCATTATTGTCATTTCAGGAGATTTTTATTTAACAGTTAAGGTCATTATTCATATTGATTTAATTGTCATATCAATGAGTTTTTTTTATCCATCATCTCCTCCTAGAGTTTCTTCTATGAGATTTATCCTATACGCTAAAGACATTAAAACAACTAGAAGAGAGTCAAGAGACGGTTGTAGATGAACATTTGAAAACAAGATAAGCTGTTATTTGATAACACTTCCTGAAGTTGTCAACTTGTTTTGTCATGTAGGACTTTCTGTATTGATTTGGGAAATCACAAATGCCTCTGTACAGTTTGTGGAGTAGAATTCATGTTTTCTTTTGTTGATGATGGGTTTCCTTTTTTTTGGGGTGGGGGGGTGGGGTGGGTCAGCTATCTAGTTGACCAGTTAATAGAAAATCTGGGTTTCAAGCCTATATTCAGGAAATAAAGATACCCTTCTTCTAATTGTATGAGTGTAAAACATAATTAGCCACATGTTACTTTTTGACTGCTTTGCTATCTACTTGAACTGTTGCTTATATGGTGTCCATTCTCATGCTTCAATATCATGCACATGTTTCCATTTAGGGTCTGTTCGTTTGCTTAAAAAAAGAGGGAAATCAAAGAAAATGAAACCTATTTCTAAGAAAAATAGGTTTTTGAATTGTTTGGTTGGCTTAAAAAAGAAGGAAATCAAAGAAATGGAGATGAGATGAGATGAGTTGTCACATTATTATTGGATGATGTGAGTGATTTTTTAAGAAAATTAGTTTTGATGTTGTTTGGTTGGCGAAAAAAAATAAGGAAATGAATTATAAGAAACCTATTTCCTGTAGTTTGTTGTTTTCTTTTGTTTGGTTCATTCTTAAAAATAAGAAATAAAATGAGATGAGATGAGTTGTCATTGTATTATTGGGTGGTGTGATTCACACTTAAGAAAAGTGTTTTCACAACTTTTTAGGATGAAAACAAAGAAATGAAATGTTAATAAGATGAGGTGAATTGTTATAATATTTTATTGGATGATATGAGTGATTTGAAATGATGAGAAGAGATGAGTTGAGTGATGTTTGGATGAAAATAATATTTTATTAGATGTGATGGATGAGTTGTTAGATAAAAATAATATTTTATTAGATGTGATGGATGAGTGGTTAGATGAAATAATATTTTATTAGATGATGTGAATGAGTTGTTAGATGAAAATAATATTTTATTGGATGTTGTGGGTGAGTTTTAGGGGCTGTTTGGTTGGTTTCCTAAAAACCAAGAAAAGGAAATCGGGACAAGGAAATCAATAAAATAATATTTTTATCCATTTCCATCCCTAAAACTCACCCACAACATCCAATAAAATATTATTTTTATCCTCCAACTCATCTCATTTCATCTCCTTTCTTACCTTTAAAAATAAACCAAACACAAGAAATGTGTCACATCATCCAACTCATCACATCTCATTTTATCTCATTTTTAAAAATCACACACATCATCCAATAATATTGTGACAACTCATCTCATCTCATTAAACATTCCTTTCCACCCATTTCCTCAAAAAAAAAAAAACAAGAAATTAATTTCCTTAAGTACATGTCACATCATCCAATAATATACCTCCAACTCATCTCATCTCATCTATTTTCTTATTTTTAAAAACGAACCAAACACAAACAACCTCAAAACATCATCCAATAATATACCTCCAATTCATTTCCTTATTTTTTTAACCAACCAAACAACCTCAAAACAAGTTTTTAAAAAAATCACTCACATCATCCAATAATAAGGTGACAACTCATCTCATCTCATCTCCTATTCAATAATTTCCTTTTTTTTAAACCAACCAAACAACTTCAAAGTAATTATAATAGGAAATAGGTTTCCTAAAGTTTGATTTCCCAATTTTTTTGGCCAAACGAACAGGCCCTTAGGGATAGAAATGGAAGAAATAGTACTTTTTGAGATTTTCACCTTTTCCATTTCCATTTCTTGATTTTTAGGAAATAACCGAACAGACCCTTAGCCACGGCTGTTCTTCTACACCACCAACTAAAAGGCCTTACTACTTACTGCGTCTGCATCTTAGTTCTCTTGCTGTTATGTGGCATTTGTATAGTTCGTTTCACGGGAGGTGTGCTCTTGGGCAAAACCTCATTCTCGAACCACTTTGCTCATATCCTTGAATTCCGAAAAGAGTACATCTGATATAATAAGGCATTGTTAAACCCTACTCCTGTAAGACTAATGCCTTCCACTCGTTTATCCTAATTAAGCGTCTGAACTAATTGTTAAACCCTACTCCTGTAAGAAGACTAATGCTTACCACTATCATCATCCTCGATCTTTCCTTCCATCTCGTGACTCCAATCATTTTGTCTCTTCCATGCGGAGGTATGTCAAACAGTCATAATAAGTGGCGTGTTGTACATGAAACCAAACATTTTTATTATTTATTATTTCCTTAGTTGGAGCATAAAGTGAACTAACCTGTGTATTTTATATGCCATTATTCTGGGGTACATGCCACTATTCTCTGAGTTCCTTCTTCTGTCATTTTAATTAGTTGCAGACCTTCTCGAAACCAAATCTAACTGCCCTCTCATATGACACGCACAATTACAAGGAAAATGCACTCTTTTCAAATGAGTTCGTACTGGTTAATTTTAGAGTTCTACTAGTTTGATTTATGAAAGTCAAGGCCTCTTCTCTGTTCCTTTCATGTAATTTAATATTTGGCAAGGAAACATAAAACTGATTATCTATTCAAACTGCTGATGGTTCCAGTCTTTCAATGATGTTGGTCATTTATAATGTATATGCTATTAAGCTTTTGAGTATCATTGATTTTAAAAGTTGTCTCCTTGATCTCTTTCAGGTGAACTCCGAATGGTTCTGGAACAAGGTTATGCTTCTCCACCTGCTGATATCATGCCGATTACCGTCCTTATTTTCCTGCATCATTAAGTTAGACATGGTTGTTTATGTATTATGTCCTTTTTCTTAATGAAACTGAAATAATGGATTCTTGAATGGTGGTACCATTTCCTTGTGCTTTTGGAGCTCAGTTTATAAATCATAAGAAACTTTTAACTGCAATCTCATACAAATCTTGTGCATCTATTGTTCTTCCTGTAACCAAGGCCATCCTTAATCCAGGCCGGCTGCCGATCTTCCTCGCTAGCTGAGCGGCTGCAGGGAATATGAACCAGTGAGGATAAAACTTGCACTGTGATTCACTTGAATTTTTAGTAAATGCTTTAGTGTGGAATAGCAGGTTAAAAAAAATAAAACCCAATAGGCAAGGTAACAAAAAACACAGTAACTTTATGAAGGGCGTATATGATTTGAGTGTTGAATGTGATTTTTTTTACAAAGATTACAACAGTATTGTCAGCCATCCAAGGCTTTTAAACAAATTATAAAAATTAGTTAAAGGATAGCGCCCTTGGTCGCAATCTTGTTGCGACAAGAGCCAAGGATACCACTTAGAATATAACGAAGGCCATATAAAAAGGAATACCAAAGACCTTTAAGACCATATAGATTTAGAAAAAGAAAATTTTTAAATAACAAAATTAGCAAAATAAAAAGTGGAAAGCCCAAGGAAAAAGAAAATTCACGGTAAAACCCCGAGCGTCTAAAAAGACTTGTAAATGTTTCATATGCCAGGAAATTGGTCACTATGTAAACGAATGTCCTAAAAAGAAAAGTACAAATGAAATAATTATAGAGGACATCTCTGATTATGAGTTGGACCTCATAGAGGTAAATCAACTTGAAATAGATTTTGATAATTCTTATTATGAATTAATAATAGAATCAGGCAGTGACGATGACATTGATTTTCCTCAAATATATATGATGAATAAAGAATCTTCCAATGTATTAGGAGAAGATACAGAGTCTTTTGAAACTGATATGCATGATCTCCAAGGAGAAATATTCTCTATTTCTGATGAGGATATAGAAAGGCTAAAATGACCATTCCCAAACTTCATCGTCATGATGTTTAGAAAACATGTATTTTTAATACCAAATTACTCAATAAACATTATTACATATTTGATAGAGTTGATGGAAACATCGAATTACATGGGGAAGATAGCATTAAAAGCATTCCACTTCTCAATCAAAGAAAAATAAATAAATTAAAAGAAAAATATAAGGATATGAAATATCTACATCTTGGACTCATCTAAGTAAAAATTACTAGACAATTTAAATCTGGTGTTGATACACCTATTATGGGACTCTGTATGGGTGAAAGAATAATTTCTAATCCATTAGATGCCTTAATAGGAGATGCAAATCTAATCTTGATAACAAGATTCTAGGAGTTAATATATACCCAGATTATTTTGTAGCACTTAATGACCCTCACATATGTGATGTGGAAAAATTAAGCATAAATCTCAAAGGAATTGAGATGAAACCAGGAAGTCGAGTTCTAGAAATACAATGTGCATCTGTAGTAGCACTTAGTCAAACCTGCATCTTCTTTAGCAAAATGTCTAGAGAAGTAATTAGCTTATTTGAGGTACAACCTGGAGAGGTGATACAAGCTAGAACAATAAGCCTAAATGATCTTAAAATTGACCCAGATTTGACAACCAATTTAGATTACTTAAAACAATACAAAAAGATACAAATGCCAGATGAAACATTTATTGTTTCTAGCAATACTATCCACCAAGAAGGAATCTCTCTTTCTGAAAAGAAGAAGGCTCAACATCATCTTCTAAAGAGAAGGAGGAAATCTTAAATCCACGGAGAAGTATACATCTTCCCGTGGAACAACCAAGATGTTCAGTTATTATACCAGCAAGTAAAAATAATGAAGATAAACTCATTAACTTTAGACAAGAAAATCAGGGTTAACCGTTTTACTAGTGTAACAATTACATATCCAGACTATAAACTCTTTATGCTCCATACATTAATTGACAATGGAGCTAATATAAGCATTATTAGAGGAAAATTTGTTCCTTCTTCCAATAGAATGCAATGTAAAAATCCTCAAGTCATTACGTCATTTAATGCAAAGGCAATGATGATGACTCAAAAGGTCAAAAATATCCCTATTATCTTTGAAATCATTGATAAGAGGGAAGTTCCTATGACACTTTCTGCCTATGTTATGGAAAGTGATCAAAAGGGAGATTATTATTGGGAATAATAACATACATTACTGATTTCCTATAACCATCGATAAATATCAGGGTTGACCCTATAATGGCTAACTTTGAGGACAGAAGAGAGTTTGAAACTCAAATAGCTGAGCTCTTCAAACTTAATCTAGTCCAAAACACAGAATCAAATCATTCTTCTCTTGCCTTCATGGTAAGAAACCATGAGGAGCAAAAGAGAGGAAAATCAAGGATGATCATTGATTATAAAAAGGTTAATGAAGCCGCCAAAATTGATGGGTTCTTCATCCCTAATAGTGAATTACTATTTCATAGAATCTGAGATGCTAGATGGTTTAGTAAATTCGACGTAAAATCCGGATATTGGCAAATCAAACTGAAGGATGAAGAAAGCAAAAAGCTAGCAACATACAATGTCCTAATGATGAATATTATGAATGGAATGTTATGTCATTTGGACTAAAAAATGATCAACAAATATTTCAGAATTGGATGAATAACATTTTTGGGCATTTGCTATTGTTGTCGTCTATATAGATTACATCCTCATGTTCTCTAAAATAAAGAAAGAACACAAATAATACCTGATAGCAGTAGTCAAGCTATTGCTCAATCATGGTATTATTTTATCTCCTAAAAAGATAACCCTTATGAAAGAGGATATTGAATTTTTTTGGAAAAAGAATAAAAGGTGGTTACATTGAATTGCAGACCATATTATTACAAAGATCAAAGAGTTAAAAGAAAACTTTGAAACTTTAAAAGATCTACAAAGCTTTTTGGGCTTACTAAATTATAGGAGACGGTGTATACCCAATCTCTAAAATATAAAGAAATACATAATAAAGGAGTTACCCATTGGGACACAGACAAAACTAGAATTACACCGAATATTGAGCAATTATAAGAAATTGCTAACATTAAAAAAGAGATAAAGGAACAAAAAATTCTTTATCAACCCCAATCTGGAGATACATTGGTTATATAGATTGATGCTTCATATAAACATTGGGCAGGAATCTTGTTTGCACTTCCGCCTAAACGTCCTTGGGCTAAATTGATATCTGAGCCTGGAACAAGGGCAAAGATCAATCAATTAGATCCCGAAATATGTGCATATTGCTCTGGAAAATTTAAAGGACCATAGAAAAATTATGCAACATATGATAAGGAATTATTAGCTATTAAAAATACTATTAATTCCTTAAAAATATACTTGTTATCATCTGAGTTCATTATTGAAACAAATAATCAAGCTGCTGCACACTTTCTCAAAAAGAAAACCAATTCATTAATTGAGAAGAACGTGCGCAAAATTAGATGGTCCATAGAATTAGAGAACTATATTTATAAAGTTTGATATATTCCTAGATTCACTAACATTGGTGCTGATTTTCTCCCTAGACATGGCTAGTTCGTAAAAACAACCTCTAGATAAAGATAAAGGAAAGGCACCAGCTCCCCCTTAAACAAAGGTAAAGGAGAAGGGTATGGATGAAAAAGTCTCAATACAACTAGAAATAGTAAAGGCCCTAAATTATAACCTAGGACCATAAAATTGAGCAAAGAGATATTCTAATTATATCTCAATTTCTCACTAATCTAGAAAGCTTCGGAAAAAGAGATTTGATGAAGTTATGAAGTTGTTATGGTTCATTATAAACCTCGAAGAAGCTTCAGCTAGAAAAGATATACTCATCAAATAGATGAGTTTATAAAAAAACATAACAACACCTGGCAATATTTATGATTGTCCCTATTGTATCAGTGCTCAGTCCATCAGTGAGACCCTCAACAAAGAAGCAACCAAAAGTAATTTTATTCTTGTAAAAGGTAAAACAAAACAAGAACCTGAAGATAAGTCTGCTCAAAATAAGAAGCCCAATACTCCTCAAGTATATTGGAAAAAAACTCTTAAAGGCATTATAGTTAAAAACATGTATACTACCAGTTTACCAGAAGAAGGCTATAATGTAATTAACAATGTCGGGAAGAAACTACAAGAAATGCGAGTTTTCACTCCAGACACTAATGCATGTCTATCTTCATTAGAAAAGATTATCAAGGAAAAAAATCGAAAGATTCAAGATTCTGAAAAGGGATACCACAAATGGATAAGCATTATGGAAAATCTCATAAGTAAATCAATCCTGACAATATCAAGGGCAATGAAAACTCAAAAGAAGCAAATGCAAGATTCATTGGGTTCAAGCTCTAGAAATCTAAGATCGATTCTAAAGGAAATTGAAATCAAGGATCTGACAGTCACAAAAATTGATGACTTTGTTGAACTTGTTAATTATTTTAAGTTTGATATTTTAAAATATCAGACTCAAAGAAAATTAAAAGACATGTTTGATAGTTATGAGCATAACCTGATTGATGATTAGGCAATGCTTTCCTATTTTGAAAAGCTGAAAGACGATGACATAAGTTCATTGTTCAAGTCAGCTTTGCAAGTCATATTAAACCCGTATGACCGCCCAAGGGTACTAACAAGTTTTGAGCTCATACCCTTCCATAAAGAACAGATAAAAAAGGGTATAGTACACAAACTATATGTTGATAAAACTAGACTAGAGGAATACAAATCATTCAATCCTGAAATATGCAATTAGGCACTTGAAAAGACTGACAAATTTTAATGAGTATTTGAATTCACCATATGGGTAATATGGGAAGAACAAAATATTCTCGAATATTATCCATCATACCAGATCTGGAGACTTGACCCATTGGTAAAGGGAGCCACATTTTAGATATATTCCTTTCAATGAAAAAGAATATGATCTTGAAGAAGAGAAAGAATTATTTGCAATTGAGTTCTTTGAGGCACTATATTATAACAATGGGAAAATGTTAATAAAAGACCATATTATCCTATATCTCCCACATCTAGTGCTCAAAGAAAAGGAGTTGCAGGAAAAATTTGAGGAAGAAATAGTTCTA